CAATTCCTCAGCACCACATAAGCAGAAAAAGCTGAAAGTGGCACTGTGGCTCAAGTGGTAGAGCACTAGCCTTGAGCTGAAGAGCTGAGGGACAGTGCCCAGGCCCAGAGTTCAGGCCCCATGACTGGCAAGAAAAAAAAAAAGTATCCATTTCTGATTTTATTATGTTAGCAAAGAAAATGAATACCTTTTGCTAACTACAGAGGCTGTCTAATCAGAAATTCTGAGTAATTATTCATTAACATTCCAACTCATAAAAGTTTTAGTTTATTTGATTTCTTTTACTCTAACAAAGAATGCCTCAAGGAAAGGATTAAAAAAAGCACTAAGATACCCATAATTTCTTTCCCTCCCTTTGCCGAGATAGTGCCTGGTTATTTTCTCAGGCTGGCCTGGAATTTAAAATGTTATTGCCTCATGTTCTTAAGTGCTGGGATTACAGGTATATGCCCATACTTCTAGAGCTCATAGACCTTTATACACAGAGGAATATTTCAGCTGATTCATGTGAAAAAGATTACTGGAACAAAAACAAATGAACCTAAACACTGGCCATTGAAGATTAATACAGAAAAATTTGAATATTAATAATAACAATGAGATTTCTGAGCTGACAGTATACTACAGAAATAATTAAAAAAAAGGAAGTTCAAGGACATCATTGTTTTTCATCACTGGTTTTCATCAAATTAGATTTACTTAGAATAATTTCTTACACATGATTTCACTCCTGTAGAAGACAGTAAAAAAAGAGTAAAAACTCACAAAGTATGATGAGTTGACTTTAATACAAGCATTTACCAAAACAGCTACTTGCAAAGAATGAAATGCACAGCTGAGATTGTAATTTTTCACTATTATTATGTTAATGTATTGACCAGAAAAGTAAATGGTTTTAGTGTGTGTATATTTATGTAAGTGTGTGCTATAAGTAACATTTTTTAAACTTAAGATGCTTCAAATGGGACTTAACATATGGTCCATTTAGAAAAACTATGATTAGAAGATAAATCCCAAATTTTAGAGATGCCAAAATGTAAAATAAGATGTACATATCAGAATCAGCAATCAAAATTTAAAATCATCCATAAGACTGCAATGGATACCTCAGGACTCATTCGAAGTAGCTATGTGCTTGTGACTATCTATGGCTGTCACCAAGCAAATGTGAATTTTTATACTGACTTGGAAAAGTAGGCCATAATCCCTTCTATGTCTTTTATGGGAAAGTGTCAGGAATGCAGACACAGTTGCTTCTGGATTGTTAATGATGTTCAGAGCCAGGAAACTGAAAGCATTTCCTGGAGTTGCTGAGGCAGGCCCAAGATCAGTAAGATGCTTGTGATGTCCTTATATGTGTCTATATTTCTCAGAATGAAAAAAGTGGATAAGAATGTAATCTTGCTTCACTTTGGTGGGAATATGAAGTAGCTAGTACTGATTCATGCTGAGAGTTATATAACTGTGAAACCAGTCTATAGGATTATGAAGTTAATTTTAGACACTCTTGGGACACAAACTGGCCTGCAGGCTGCCAGATCTCAGGATAATTCAGTATCACGTACTTGTTGAGATGAATAAAACCAGAATAAAAGTATGGAGGAAATCTCAAGAATTATCCTTTACCTATCACTACCAGTTCTCTCATGATAAAGTATCTGAAAGCTGCATTTGAAGAGCAGACAGAGTAGTTGATTTTACTACTTACACAAAAAGACTTTGAGGCAAATAGCACTGACTACCAGAGATGTCACAACAGAATCCATTCTTGTCCACCCTTACTGAAAGCAGTGAGTGTGGCATTTTGGAAAGCATGGAACACTTGTTCATGTTATAGGTGGAAGTAAGGAGGCTTTAACTGTCCATTCAGGCCCCATGTTCTTTAATCAAAGAATAGGGATGTATTTCAGAAGATAGTCATTAGGGAATTGCTGTTTATATACAACATTCTTGGGATAGCTTTTTTATAAAGATATTTTGAGCTACTTAGGTTTATTAAAAAAAAAAACATTTAAAACGTGGCTTATGCAGCCCCTAGGAAAACTATCCTAGAAAGAGGCCTTGTAAAAGAAGTTTGTCAAAGTTGTTTAACATTTAACTAGTTCCCCTTGGAATTTTTCATCTAAAATTTGTATTTATTTGGTTTCCTTTGCTCTATAATCTCTGACCTCATGGCACTGAGGTATGTTTGTAAAATTAGACTATTACCTATTGTCTTCTTTCATTAATTAAACACTTTTATCCACACATAAACACGTAAGTGATGACAGAGATAAAGAGGTATACATTTAGGGAATTCAAAATAGCTACTAGATGAAATTTTTCAATGTTTTCAACACAAGAAAATGGTAAATGCTTCAAGTGACAACAGATATGCTACTATCCTGGTTTCGTTATTACATATTGTACATTATACTGAATTACTGTACTTAGCCCCATAAATGTAATTAAATAGTAATTAAAAACCAGCTCTCAAGTTGTCCTGCTTTAAAAGCACAAAGAAAACAGCACTTATTTACTGTAGACAATTCTATAAGAACTGATAATTGCTAACAATTCAACTAGATGTGCTTGTATTATAATTCCTATTTTAAAATTAATATTGGGGCTGGGAAGGTGGCTCAGTGGTAGAGCGCTTGCCTTGCATGCATGAGGCCCTGGGTTCGATTCCTCAGCACCTCATAAGCAAAAAGAAAAAAGCCGGAAGTGGCACTGTGGCTCAAGTGGTAGAGCACTAGCCTTGAGCTGAAGAGCTGAGGGACAGCACCAAGGCCTAGAGTTCAGGCCCCATGACTGGACCCCCCCCAAAAAAATTAATCAATATTTAGTAGACATTCAAAACATAAAAAGTGAAAAGTTGCATTTTGGAGACTGATGCTGAGAGAAGAAAAGAAGGCCTGAAATGGGTCAAAAGATCTTGGGCCCAAATCCCAAGATTCAATGACTGAGCTCTATCCTCAGCCCTGTTTTTATTTATTTTTCCCTCCCAGATGGGGTCTTACTATGTAGCCAAGGCTGGCCTGGAACTCATAGTTCTCCTGCCTCTTCCTCCCCAGTGTTGGGATTGCAGGCATGCCACCATGCCAGGTAAGAGAGAATAGCTTTTGCCTGAAAGACCCTATTCTATCTGTAGTAAACACCCATTAGCAATTGATAACTGATCTGTATTTGAGGAGTCAAAATTGTTTCTCTGATAATATACATAACTAATAGATGCTCATTTTGTGACTGTCATTTCTCATAGGATTTTTAATGCAAAGGCCTTCAGATTTTTGTCTTCTCATTCTAGAATGTTGTCAGGTCTTTCCCTCCCTCACTCCTTGTTCTTCTGTTTAATCACTGATTTTTAGTTATGGACTGGGAAATCAACTAACAGAATTTTGCTAGCACTGAATGTAAACAAGAAAAGTGTTTATCTTCTTCTTTGAAACAATGAAAAGCTTCAGGATTTTCTGTATTTCTAACAGTTGAACCGATGTACAGTGATCTCATGATGAGAGAGAGTAGCAACATCTTACTTTACAGACTTACATTCATTAAGTCATTGTTTATTTATTTATTTTGTTGGTCATGGGGCCTGAACTCTGGACCTGGGTGCTGTCCCTCAGCTCTTCAGCTCAAAGCTATTGCTCTACCACTTGAGCCACAGCTCCACTTCCGGCTTTTTCTGCTTATGTGATGCTGAGGAATCAAACTCAGGGCTTCATGAATGCAAGGCAAGCATTCTATCACTGAGCTACCTTCCCAGCCCCTAACTCATTGTTTCTTAGACACATAAACCAGTCTGGTTTTGCTATCAATTGACCTTAAAGACATACACTGGCTTTGTAAGGTGGGAAAATGATCACTTCCTTTATAAACAGCACTGGGGCTGGGAAGATGGCTCAGTGGTAGAATGCTTGCCTTGTATGCATGAGGCCCTGGGTTCGATTCCTCAGCACCACATAAGCAGAAAAAGCTGGAAGTGGCACTGTGGTTCAAGAGGTAGAGCACTAGCCTTAGCTGAAGAGCTGAGGGACAGTGCCCAGGCCCAGAGTTCAGGCCACCACCACCAACAACAAAAAAACCCAAAAAACAGTACTGTATTTTCCTCAGGGCTATTTATACAAATCATTCAATTTACCAAAAGTAAATTCCTTTGGAGAGTTTTCTGGTAAAACAATGAAAAAAAGCAACCAGTATCAGCATGTAACATTATTGG